CAAATCGTCACTATGAACAAAAAATGCCTTTTTTTTGGTTCATTCTTTGAGAAGGTAGAAATATAAAATAAAATAAATTCATTTTTTTATGATAATGCTTTTTTTCTCTCTGTATATTCTGCTAAATTCAAAAGCATCAAAACTGTACCGTTACTTTAACACAACAATCGCCGCAATCACTACAATTTTTATACGAATTAAGCCGTTCAGATTAAAAAATAGAGTTTCTTTGGTAACAGAGGCTAAAAAATCATTCTCTTGATATGACTTTAGTTTGAAATTGCCAACTTTATTAATCTGAGTAGCGCTGCATAAAAACGGAAAAAAAAACCCAGAAAACCAAGTATTCTTCTCTCTTCCTCATCTTCTCCCTTTTCTTCACCTTTCTTTTCTTCTCCTTCTTCCTCTTTCTTCTCTTTCTCTTCACTTTACAAAAAATTAGCAACAAAAAAAGAGCCTAATTAAACTAAGAAAAAATTATTCCAATTTAATAAAATTTTACAGATGCTAAAGATGATTGTTCGTGTTGATATTCATCTGCACAAAACAACAACGCAATAAATGCCAAAAAAAAATTAACTCTCTCTTTTCTTGTAAAATTTAACAGATTGTAAGCAGTCGCAGTCTGTTTTATTTTTTTTTCTCAAAATTGAACAAGCAGATTAAAAATTAAAAAAAGAAAAAAAACGGTCATTTTTTGCAAACGAATAACCATATATTATACAGTCATTCCAAAAAAGAAAATTGTCCCTCTTTTCAATAGCCATACTAAATTAAAGAGTAAAAACGTAGTTGACAGGTGTTAAATGATCATTAAAATATTTGCTTGCTATGTAATGATTCTACTATAGTGGCAACCTAAGTTTTGATCATTATTGCATCACCTGTAAGCAGCTGGAAAAAAAGCGCAAAGGTCATACAGTTCTTCAGTCATTATCAAACACTGTCAATCATTGTAATCATCACATCATTATAAATTCAGTTATCAACCACCAGTTTTTCTGCCTATTACCAGTGTATTAAGCCTATTTTACTGTTAAAATGCATTGCATTAAAAACTAAAAAAAAATTAAAATTAAAAAAATTTTTTAAAAAAAAAAATTAAGTTATAATTAGCAAACAGTAATTTTCAAAAAGATAAAGGAAACCTTTTTATCTTACCTATTTTGCCGTTCTTCTCCTATTTCTTCTACTTTTTTTTTTTCAGTTTATCACGTCCCAAGAAAACAAAGTTTTTTTTTTTTCAAAGAATTAAAAAGATTTTTAAAATCAAATGCTATGATACATAAAGAAATTGACAAGAATATATTGTTAATCTATAAGTGAATAAACAAATAAACAAATAAACAAATAAACAAATAAACAGTCATACAAAAACAAAGACATTTACGTATAATGGTAAAAGGTTATACGAACGACAGATGCAGACACCAACAAAAGATTGTTGCAGCAGACAGCGATACAAATATAGGCATACAGAAAAGAAAAAAACTAATCAGAATTTTATAAGCATTGAAAATTTTACGTAAACTGTGCCGATGCCGTTGCCATAGCCGTTACTGTTGCTGTAGCTGATTTTGCTGTTACCGCTGCTGTTGTCAGATTCGTTATGATCATCCGGAGTA